GTTTTTAGGGAGGAGAAGTGTTCTTTTAAAATTACAACCTTACGACGAAGCCTTTCGCGTTGGAAACTATATTGCAGGGCTGTTGTTACGACTTAATGAGGCTCCAAAATTGTTATAACGTATATATAACCTCTGTATAATATAGCAATCGAATAATAAATAAGCATTTGAAGTACTTCATAGATATATAAAAGAAACAAACGTGAGCTTTTAAAGTTCATTCATTTATTTTTCCTAAATTTTTAAGAGACCAGCATTTCTTTTTGAAAAATTAGTTAAAAGAATAAATGAATATATAACTTACAAAGCTTGTTTTGAATTGTTCATTGTATAATTTTTAGTTTTTTATTTGTTTTATTGAATTTCGCGCATAGGTACTCGAGGGTTATCTGCAACACAACCGTACCTAAGTTTGAAATGATCGAAAATAGTTTGTTTGTTAAGCACAAAGCTACACAATGAGCTATCTGTGCTATGCCTACCACTGGTATCGAAACCCGTGTTTTGGCGATGTAAATCTGTAAACACACCGTTAAGCCACTGGAGAGCTAGACTAAAAAGAAGCCAGCTGGTCAACACCGTCCACTGCTAACTCGTTACCAATGAATACTGGGATTGACTGGTACATTATAACGTCCCCAATAACTGAAAGGACGATCATGTTCGGCAATATGCTTCGATACCGCAGATTGCAGACAAGCGCTTTGGTCTAGTTTATTAAATAATAATAAATGTACGTACAGAAACTCACAAGTTTCTATTCTTGTATGGTAAACGGACACGTTAAGGGCCATACAATAAGAACGTAAATTGTGTCTTCACAAACAAGCCTAAAGTGAACACGCCAGAATAAAACAAATCAGTATAATTCTGTTTATTTTCTCATATTGCGATGTTTTGATTAATTACACACACAAAACTGAAGCCTGTTAAAAACTCTATATTGCCGAGTAAGCAAGAACTAGAAATGTTTCTTTAATACATGACTGATAATATATATATATATTTACCCTTTTTTAGTGGGTAAGGACATATAAAAATTGAGGCACCTGCGAATAAGAGCTGACTTACAATTGAAACCATGTGCAGTGTTTTAAAATAAGAATGGTTGTACAGAAATGTATCTAGCTTGATACCCAGGATCAAATGCTTAGACAAAACCTAACGTTGACGATTAGTTATCGAACCAAGTTTTTGAAACTGTAGATATTGTATTTTCTATTTTTGTGTATGAAAAATTGTAAAATATTTGGTCAGTTCATTGCTACACTGACTTTTGTGCACGGAAAATTTTGTAATTACTGTTTTTGTTTGTCACGAATACAATTTAAACTAGAGGGGCATTCAGTAACACGTACCTCCGATTATATTCGGCCCAAAAAAAAAACAAAAAAAACTACGAAAATGTGTCTGTCGTTAACAACGAACACGGATCATTTTTGGAAGGGCAATAAGGAATAATATTCTACATATGTCCACCAAGTTTAATCTAAATTCAATTATTTTTGACTGAGTTATAGAGCAAAAATAGTGTGACAAATCGGTCCCCATGTTAACAGTAAGGGATTTCACTTCTAAGTTGGGTCATAATCCAAATGTACACTAATTTTCGTCCAAATCCATTCAGCCATTTTCGAGAAAGCTTGCTGACAAACATACACATACACACAATGGTGAAGACATAATCTCTGTCACCTTTGGTGGATAGATATATATATATCAATAAACAGATTACTGATCTGCAGATCAAATTGCTTATTGCTAATAAACTAAAATCCACATATTTTATCACTCACTGAACAGAAATAACTTCACTTAGAGAATTAAACGACAGTACATTCACAATTTTTGGAATTCCCAATTCTATCATATTAAACTCGTCTTCAATTAATCATATTTTCAAAATATTAATGCAGATATTTCTTTAAAATGTTCATAATGATGGCAGATAACAAATGTATAAACTGTAGAGAATTGAGAAAGTAATTATTACTCTTTTTATTAATTCACATATGTGGAAACAACTAATTCTATGCTGTGTACTCAGCAGTTTCTAAACATTTTTCAGTGCCGACCCATTGCAGCTAACCCTAGCTATATTAAAATGTAAATCAACTCGCCCTTTCAGCTTTTTTTTTTTTTGTTGCAAATGACGTTTTTAGCGGAAAATTTGCGACCCCTGGTTTGTAAACTACTGCAGTATACCAAACACATACATAATAAGATTAAAAAATATAAGAGTAAACATTCCAAAAATAACAGAAAATAAACACAAGTTTTAACATTAAATTTTGCCTGAATAATATAACATTGGATCCCTGGAATCGCAATGTTTTAAAAGTGACACTTCAAATTCATTTACTGTTTTGTAAGAAATTTTAAGCATTTGTTCTACTGTTAATATATTTACTTTAAATTTTAAGACTGAGAACAATGATGTTAAACTCGGGTCTTTAAGATAAGCAGCTTGATTCCCGTCATCAGTCCACTGCTTTACAGGCAAGTTATTTTGGTTCCTGGATCATGATAAAAGAAATATACATCAATATAATACAAATTTAATACTTGCATAATATACAGTCAACTGACCATGTGCAATATTAATATGAATAATAACATTAAGTAGTTATTTTCTGTATTATCATAATGTTTTACCAAAGTATGATATCGACACATTTACATAAATGGAATTGCTTGCCATTTTTGTATACCAAAAATTTCCATGTATTTATGTACTAATTTATGATTGATAGGTCATGTAAGAAATGGATTAAAAAAAAGAAAGTATATAAAAAAAAGTAACAGAAAGTAAAGACATTAAACTGTATCAAAACTTTTCAAACTGAGTAAGCTTGAAATCTTAAACTGAACACAGGAATAATATTGTAAAACACATAACATACTTTTGTAGACCTATAATTCTTTATTTGTCTACACGTTTTTGTTTTTTTTATCTTGAAAAATACTGAATTATTATTTTGTTGCTTAGAGAGTGTTTAACATCAGCATCATCCAGTCAAAGTAATACTGTATTTAAGAATATTTAACAACTTGAATATACCCCATCATAAATGATGGGGCAAGTATTACCACCCCACCACATAGTATACCCTAACTTCATATTTCATAGCTAACTGAAATAAATAAATTTTGCGAAATCAAGCTTGACTAACGAAGAGGCAGAAAAGTGCAGTTGAGGCAGCAAAACGTCAGTAAATTCCTTTGTGAGCCAATCAAAATTAAGATCATTCATAAAATTAATTCATGGCATATTCATAGAATAATTATTGATATCAGTTAGATTAAAAACTTCTAATGTATAGAAAAGCCAGTGTATTTTGGTAACACTACGTTTCAAATAGCTTCTATGTCATTTTGCTGAGCCACAAAAATATAACCTAATATTGTTGTTAGTCTATGCACTTAAAGTATAAAATGAAATGTATAGACAACAAAACTAGAAAAATATTTGATTTCTTAATTTAGAGTCTCCATTGATTAGAGGTTTGTTTTTTATTAACAACATTGGTGATATAACAGAAAATAGTTTAATTCGAAAATGATTTGATATTTTTACTTTCATGATAAATTTTATGCACTTGGCTCTAGGCTAGGGGATCTCATACTACGTCTGTACTTTAGGCTTATTATACCAACACTCACTAATAACGTTTCACAAAAGATCCCCCTTATACCTTTGTCAATAAAATTGTAATGGGCAGACAGTAATCAAACTATTCCATTTGGATAAATGCATTTTTGGCTTTTAGGACTCCTCCTACTTCGATATATCAAGTGTGATGTGACGCACACTGGCTTTTATATAAGTTAGATTATCTTTATTTAGAAAAACTGGTTTTACGATACCAATTGTGAGGGAATACTAAAATTGTAAATTTTGTTATTCAAGCAAGCATTGATTTATATTTTAACGTGAGTTACAGCAAATCTCATTTAATTGAATCTGAATTGGGGTTAAAAGTGTAGTGTTGGCGATGATCAAACCACTTTTGATGCAAATTGTTTACTGCTTGAATAATGAAATACTTTAAGTTAAATATTTATCAAACTAAAGTATAACTGGAAGTTGATTGGCTCCAAAGAACAGTTATCATGGTTTATAAAAAAGAATAGATACGACACAATCAATTACACCTAGAAAACCATTTAATTAGCACAATACATGATGTTGTATTATAAAATGTTTGTCTTTGATACTTGAGTAAGGAAGCACATTATGGGAATACAATAAGTTGGAAATACCTGAAGAAGAAAGACCAATGTTCTGTTGAAACATGTGGTATGTTCCTCAAAATATAAATCACTTTATTATGCCTATAAATCATTGTTTTCCAGCTTATTATTAAAATGTTTGTCTACACACTGTTTAACGCCAACTGGAGTTTATTACGAGACATTTCTATATATATGGAAAAAAATCATGACCTATACCTCCAGAATGTAACTTTATTCAATAATGTTTTATATTATTTTTATATAATATGAACTTTCAAAATACACGTATCTATGTTTGATTTTCAAATGACAGTATTCCAATTTAGATTTAACTGGATTAGGGAACTTGTAGGATATCGACTGCTCCTGACGAAGTATAATAGCGAAATATTGAGCTAATAAAGTTACATTCTAAGGTAAATGTCGTGATTTTTTTACATTTATAGAAATGTCACGTAATAAACTCCAGTTTGCATTAAACAAAGTTAAGAGTAATAATTTATTTGCCGTCAACCTGCTTCATTATAACGCAAGTATCGTTTTTCTACAACATTCGTTAAAATGTACTCGGACTAAATCACAGTTAGTTTTCCCCTTGATTGTAGGAAATATGACTTAATACCAGAAGGTATAAGGAATACAGTCAAATTACCCCAAATCTTTAAATATAACACCAAGTTATCAATAGATTAGAAAAGTTTTATGTTGTTTGAGAAATGACCTTATTAGCTGCATGTTTAAAATGAAATACAAACACGACAAAATTTGTGATAGGACTTTTAATTTGATTAAAACATTCAGAATGTGGACTTTAAGAACTGGATTAAAGACCAAAGTGATGTTATCAGTAGGTTAGAGGAACAAGAAAGAGAAAAAAACTGAAACTTAAGTTTGAAACCTTAGTTAATAAATACTCATATAGTTACATCAATGAAGCTAGATCAGATGAATGTGAAACTCTCAAAGAAAGTAATATAACCGTAGAAGATGGCATTAACTTGAATGATGCAACTAAATCATTACTCAGTCGAGGACCAAATTTTACAATTCCAACTAGGCTAGATGACGATATAGAATTAGATATTTTATCATCATTACAGCAAACTTTCAACAAAATACGACAATGAGAAAAGCATTATTTATAAGTCCAAGATCGATGTAGTAGAGATTCACCAGAACAAAGAGAAGAGCATCAACCGTCTGTTAACCCATTTTCAAACCCACCTTTTGATCATCCTTAGACATCAGGAGTGAAAGAACAGAATATAACAGAAGACGCCATGACAGAACTTTCAAAAAAGTATCGAGTATCTTCGGGAAATTTCATAATTACACAATTAAACTTCATTTATCTTTTCATGAGACAAAAGCTCTTTATAAATTAAAAGGTAACACCTACATTTTAGTTAAAGAACCTGATAAAAATAAAGGATTTGTGGTTTTAGTGAAGGATAGTTATAATCGAAAGATTTATTCTCATTTATCAAATGATGATAACTATTTAAAATTAAACAAAGATCCTACTAAAACACTTGAAAGTAAAAGTAGAATTCTTTTAAATGAATTAAAGAAAGGTATTCATGTAGCTCCCAGCTAGTGAATAGTCTAAAACCATATAATAGTCGAGTTTCTGAATTCTAGGGTCGTCCTAATGATCATTAGTCTGGTTTACCCCTTAGACCCATAGCCTCTACTTGTGGATCTCAGACAGAAAGTATATGGTAGGTTTTAGATAGACTGCTGCAAATGTTATTGGAATTAGTCCTTGATTATAACAACAGCACATATTATTTTCTTGAACAGTTACATAATGACTCACACCTTATTAATGACAGTTCTATTCTGTTTACGCTAGACGTTGTTCAATTATATCCTAGTATCCCAACTGAAGAAGGGATAGATTGTGTTATGACTAGGATTAAAGAAAACACAGATGACTTAGAACTTTTAAATATTTCAACAGATTGGTTAGAAAGAGCTCTGAGATTTGTGTTAAATAATGGGTATGTATGATTTAATGGGGAATATTATAAACAGATCAGAAGAATAGCTATGGGGAATAGGAAGCAGTAGTCTTAGCTGTAATATATATGCATATATTTGAACTGAAAGCACTTAATTCTTGGAAAACAGGGGGGAATATTGGCCCATCAATCTGGTACAGATCTATAGATGACATATTTGGAGTGTGGAACACTAATTTACAGTCTCTTTTTAGTTTCCACGAGTTCTTGAATACCGTTCACCCTTTCATAAAATTTACACTTGTTTATGCTATACCAGGTATAAATTTACCATTTCTAGATACTACAATTCATGTCAGGAATGGGAAAATCATTACTGGTATTTTCAGTAAGCCTTCTACTAATGCTCTTTGTTTGCATTTCCACTCTCATCACTCCCCTGCTGTAAAAAGAGGTGTCATTATTGGCTACTTCCATAGGATTGATAAAGTTTGTAATAAGAAAGAAATGTGGGAGGAGGCTAGAGAAAATCTTATGACTTTTAAGAAAAAATGCCTATCCACAGGAATTTATACAAAACGTAATAAAAAATTTTGACAAGCAAAAAGAAAATAGACATGTTCTTTAGAATCGTATAAATAAAGAAAACACATTTAAAGCTCAGGCTACTTGGGTGATTCCATATATTAGTGATGATATCACCACAAAACTAAAGCGAGTAATTAGAGCTTCAGACTTACCTACTAAAATAGTACAAAAACCAGGCATTTCCCTTAAATCATTAATAACAAGTTCAGCATACAAGAAAGAAACACGATGTATGAAAAATAACTGTAAAGCTACTAAATATGGAATACACAATAGATGCCATAGTAAAAACATTGTTTATGAAGTAACTTGTGGTAGATGCTCTAGAACATATATAGGAGAAATTTTCTGAACCATCCATGATCGAATATCTGAACATGTGCATGACATCGAAAACCTCATACTAATAATGCTATTGCAGAACATTATGGAAAAGTACATAGCTTACTACAAGCGGATAACATCTTATCAGATGTTAAGATCTTATCTAAATGTCATACTTTTTTTTGGATAGAACAATTAAAGAATCCATTTTAATCAAGAAAAATAAGCCTAAATTGAATACATACAAAGGTTGGCCATTAGTGTAGAGATGTTAATGACATTTTAAAGATTTTAATATGTTGTACTTTTACAAAGTCTCTATACACATTTATAAGGATTGAAATATAACTTCAGACATTGTTTTATATATGTATCAATATACTATAATGGAAAATACTTACCAATACATATATAAATAAATGTTTTATATACGTAACATATTCTATTCTAAGTCAAACAACGTTAATAATTTACTTACTGGCTTACACATTTTATTTATCTTGCACTGTTGATGTGATTCATCTTAACAATATAAATTCAATAATGTTTGATATTATTATAATATGAACTTTGTAAACACGTGTATCTATGTTCGATTTTGGAATGACAGTGTTCCAATTTAGATTTAACTGGATCAGGGAACTTGTAGATATCGATTGCTCCTGACAAAGCTGTAATAGCGAAATATTGAGCTAATAAAGTTACATTCTGGAGGTATAGGTTATGATCTTTTTTACATTTATAGATTTGTCTACACATGTTATTTACCTACGAGGTAAAAAAAAAATACTGATGACTTCCGAATATTCAAGTTTTTCTTGGCAGTATGTTTAAGTGTTGCAAATTCCTAGAGCTTGTTCCAGCTCTGCTCTACGTTGTTGAACCTTGCTATAGAAGTATCTGCATACTGATTCTTGAGCCCAGGGTTGGTAGTAGAAGTCTGATCGACGTTCCTCCTCTGGATTATGAACCACATCTGTCATAGTCTGAGGTAATTGTAATAAAAATATAATTTAATTTCAGTCTAAGCTATATTAGTCAGTCATTTGTTTACCATGGTATTTTTGTAGGTCTTTACAAAAACTGTTGTTGAGAATAATTTCTTTTCAAACATTGTGTAAAAAAAAGGGGGGACTATTTTTTTAATACTAAACATACATATGCTTTGCACAATTAACAAAGTAATCTAATTTTACTTAACCATTTCACACTGACATAGTGCATCAGATTGCAACAGCCCTATTAAAGGCTGAGAATTAAATGCAAACCATTTAAAAATTCTTAAACTGCATTTCACAATGTGGCTCTTGTTAAATACATATATTCACAGTACTCTCTAAAGCAAGATAGCAAAAAAAATAATAGCTAATAACCCCTGTTTTAAGTTTGCATGTCAACCTTACACAACACAATAAAAATAAGATCTCCAAGTTACCCAGGCATTCATTAAGTCTTCCACATATTTACCATTAGCTTACTATTTGTTTTACTTTACTACACCTAATGATCATAATTGTGTCAAAACACTTTTTATATAAACTTTTTCAGATCAATAAATCTATATTAAAATAATTATAAATGCATTTAGGCTACTTGATATTTTTATACAAAAAATTAAAAATTTATGATCTTTGTTGCAGAAAACATTATTATTAAAAGTAAAAATCAATGTTCAACATTATTCTCTGAAGAAAGATTCTCTTGACTTTCTGTCTAACTATTCACAAATGATTAAACTATATTCTTTAAAAAAAAAAAGGAGGTGGATAGAAAAATACTGTAGTTGGCATCATGTTTTAATCACTGCATTTGATATTCTGATCATGAAGTATAAGTAGCTTCTGGGATTTATCTATGTAAACAGTGAAATAAGAACGGATAGTGTAAATGTGCACAAATGAAAAAATTAATTTTGACAACATTAAGTGGTTATTTTACAAAACTACTTGCACTCAAGTGCCATCTGGAAAATGATGTACCAATGAGCAATTAGTTACTTAACTATGTGTCAGACCCTGATACAAATTACTCTTAACAGGACATAAAGAAAGTAAAAACAAAGCAACAGTGAGGCAGAAAGGAACTTTTTTATAAGTATCCTGAATATTTTCAGAGTTACTGTGCATAATATTATTTATTCAAATCAAAGTTACTCAATCTTTTTAAATACTACAGGTTTATTTTATTCATATTGTTTAAGTGCAAAGTTACATAATGATGTATCAAATACAAATGTTTAGCATTATAAGCCTTCAAAAACTTACTGCAGATATTGGGGAGTGTAAATAAATTCTCTGATTAAAATAATTCATTGAGGTTATATGCTGAAGTTAAGCAAGGTACTTAAAATTAGCTTACTTTATATTTAATATATAAATAGCCCTCAACTTTAACAAGACAGGTAGCCAAACAAACACCTATCTTACTTTTAAATCCCTCGATTGTGAAATCAGCCACTTGTTAATAAACTTTTGTGGATCTTTAGCAAAACTGAGGAAAAATTCTCTATTGATCTTCAGCTGGTTGGTAGTTTCTACTGTATCATGGATCTATTTTGGAGTTTAAAAATAAAGCAGATTTTTGAGGATAATAAATACAAGTTCACACAACCTTTGCAAATCATACTTATGAAAAATAAAACTTACCAACTGAAGCAGTGAATACACTGGAACTATATGTATCAATCCTTGCATCATTAATATTTGTAAAAGTGCAAATTTCTTTAAATGTCATATCTACTAGAATTTTAGAAATAAGTTAAAAATCCTGAGGACATATTAGATGTTTTGTGTTCTTCTAGAAAACAGGTTGATTTAAAATCTTGGCGAGAAAAATTTAAGAAATTTGAACATTTTTCAGACTTAAAACTGAAAAATAAGGTTGTTTCTTCATACGTTTAAAATTATTGAGAATACACTTTGAAAAAGATGTACAGGTACCATGAAAAAACATACACACACACACATATATATATATATAAAACAAAATCACTCAGACTTGACAGAAGCTGTTATGAAAATTTGTACTGGCATACAAAAATATCATACGTAAACAAGATCTACACAATATGGATAATCTATCAATCCTTTTCTCACTGAAAGAGTGTCACTGATATTCACTGATTTCTTTTCCTTTTCACAGTGGAAGTATTCAAACAATTTACATGAAACTTACTACAATTTACTAAGCAGTCTAGTTTCAGCTTACAAAAATTCATATAATCTGATTTAGTAACTTCAAGAATTTTTTAGGTTGTGAAACTTTCAAGCTTTTGTTGTGAAACACTGTTTTTAAAAAAAATATATATTAGAAATACTTCCCTTTCATCCTAAAATTAATTTTTTTTCTTGTTGGTCAGAAGTCAGTTTCAAAATTACTTGATATTGAGTAACATATTTCGTCTATTATATTTTGACAACTACAGTAGTCACCACTTTTGGCTATAAATCATAAAAAAAAATTCAAAAATATATGGTTGGCCTCACCTTTCAAAATGGTATCACCATTACCTTCGTTAGGCTAGGTATCATGATTTTTGTTTACAACATTCTTGGTTTGATATCAATTTAAATATAATAAATATGGTTTCTTTTCAATAGATCATAAGTTCTTTTATTTTCATATACCGTTTGAATACAATAACCATAACAATAATATTCAACAAATAAGGATTTGAGTAACTGGATTACTTTACTGGCATCTGCTATACTCACTAAACCTAAATCAGCTTATCTTGTGTCTAGTGATGAAAGAAAATTTCTACAGATTTGAAACAGATATAATATAAAAATATTCCTAGAAAAAAAACAATGTCTAAAGAAACAACATAATTCCCAGATCTGGGTTTCATTCCCAAGTCTTCTAAACTTCCCATCAGATTCCTTTGTTCAAACCTACAAAAACCTCAATTCATCAATATCTTGGGAAATTATAAATTGCTGATCAAACCAGTTCATTTATTCTATAATGAGGTAAATAGTTTATAAACTACTCTATCTAATGATATTTAAAGCTTTATTAGTAACTGTTCAGGCCATATGCTGTGACATCATAAAAGAGTGGCAACAAAGAGTTATAGTAATATACTAACAGAGCATGAAGATCATGTGAGAAAAAAAAAGATAAATCATTATATTTTCAAAGAATGAGAGTTTCTTACTAAATATAAACCTATATCTTGGGATGGGTAAAAAAATTCTAAAAAGTCAGTAAATGTGTTGTTTACAAGTGAGAATTCAGAAATGCACAGAAATGAGTCAAAACATTTTTTGAATTTTTCCTTGTGAATTGCACTAAATAAATGTTACAAATTACAATATAATAAATTATCATATTAATAACTTAAAAGGTGTTAAAATAAAGTTAGAATTATTACTTTTACTTAAACTTTGAAATCTAACACCTGAAAAGTGCTTACTAGTTGTGATAGGGTTAAAATGCTTCAGATGAATCACAAATATCCTTTTTTTATGCTGTAGGTTTGAAACAACTCAACACTTTGGTAGTTAATTGAAACTTATGGTTGCAGAAATAAGTATTTACCTTGTTATCTAGTCCTTGAATCTCCTGCTGGTTAGTTGTAGACAGAAGAAAGCTATTCATCTGACTTTTAAGGGGAGCATCCTAAAATGGTCATATTAAAGTAATTAAACAATTATAATTATTCCTAAAACAACTGTTATATAAAAGCTATTAGGTGTAAAAAAATAATTCGATCTCATTGAATTTAATTCCACAAAGTATGAAACATATTTTAATGAAAAATACAAAATTGAAACACATACATTTAAATCTGAAATAAATCACTGTAAGATTATGTGTAAATGCAATTTCCTCTAAATTTTCCACACTATGCTAAGTTCATGATTTAAAGGAAGTCTGGAGAAAGATGATCAGGCAATCAAATGCTAGATAGTTCCTGTTTACCCATAAAAATACAAATAACTGGACTTTACAGTTTTCAATGTTTCAAAAGTTATAAAGCAAAATCTACTAGACACGAACATTTCATCCAAAAGTCCAGTTGAACAATATGCAATTCATCATATATTAACCCTCTCACTATGGGTAGGCCAAAGCTTGAATGCTACAACCTTTTACAGAGTTACATTCAAAACTGAATTAAACTACTTTATTATCAATGAATATGAATAATGTTGTCATTAAAACACAATAATAAGTCAAGTTTTAATAACATATAAATTTTAATTTCAAAAGGAAATATTTGAATAAATTCTCAATCTCCCTTTGTATGTGTATCAGTTATCCCTTTGCGTGTACTTTGTTGCTTTTGAAGGTATCATATTACGGTGTTACGTAAACACTCCACTGACACAATCAGTAATTTATTGCTTCAGTTTCAGTGAATTTCTACTCAAGTTGTAGACATAAAAATAAACATAAAAAATAAATGTGAAATGCATAGCAGTTGAAACTTACACAAGAAGTACTTTAAAATCTTATGAACAATAATCAAGAAAACAGGGCAGAGCTGCTCATTTTATTTCTGATTTTACAACTTTTCTTTTCTTTATACTTTGATGTTTTGTCTACTGGTTGAAGAATAAAATATACTGTTATGGTAGAGGTAATAACAGATGAAATATAAAGTTTCCACCTTTACTAAGGAGGTTTTAGCAATTACGAAAATGAGGGGTGAGATTTTTGAGACAACGAAAATTATTTTTAATCTTTACATAAAAATCACTTTGCTTTTGGAGTAGTAAAAAAATATTCAATTCATTCACGGACAAATTGTTAGCAAAAATGCTTCGTTAAAAAACTGATTTTTTTTGGTACACACAACATGTAATGTTTACTAAAAGTCTGCCAAATTTTGTAAAAGTACACATATTGTATTAAAAGTTATAATATTAAAACTGTATACAAATAGAAATGGTCATGTGGTCAGACCCTGGGAATGAGCTTGTGTTGAAAGAGTTAAAATCCTAGTTAGGTAACTGAAATGACTTGAAGAGGCTGGAGAGCACTGGGGATTCAAATAATTTTCATCTCAAGTATTTAAAAGATAGATGATAAAGCTGCCTTATATAAGGTGACTGTGGAAGATGTGAAACCCTTGTCAAAGAGCCAGGTCAAAAAACGAGTATGGGTGGGACTTCTGGACAAAGCAGGTTCAACCTCCTCGCAATACACCATTGTCAGCATGCATGCCATTTCTGTTGATAAATGTCCATTGTGGGACTATGCAAAGATTGAGACAGATACCTGGCAACCTTAGAAATTAAACCCCCGATGCTGTGTGAAGGATCACATAACTTCCATGCATGAAGCTTGAGCTTCAGGATGGCTTGGTGTATGATGTTGGATCATGGCTGTCTCAACAGAGATAGCAAAAGATAAAGTAGAAGAAGTGGGTACTCCTGAAGGTATTGCAGAAGTGGAAACCAGGGTTGAGTCAGCCAATATCGTGCTATCAACAAAACCCAACAAGGGGTCAAACAAATCATAGCTAGTACTCTGGATAATATACGAATCAGTGTGAAAGCATAGAGGTTTAATCCCATCCAGTCCAGACTGAATGCATCTATTGCCAATACTCGAGGGTGAGGTACCAGAGCACAAAATGCTGGTAATTGAGTGTTCCAAACCGAGAGCAAATCCAATGGAAAACCTTGAGATGCAGCAATCATTCTGTCTGGAGAGTCCAGTTGGGTTCAGACAATTAATCTGCCACCAAATTAATCACCCCCTGGAATATGGCAAGCTAGTAGGATGATATGATTGGAGTGGGCCCAATAAAGATCCAAGGTTTGAAAACAGAGTGGCATGGACCGAGTACCCCCTTGACGGGAAATGTAAGACACCACCATGGAATTGATGAAGTGAATTTTCTCCTTAAAAGGGTCAGATCTTAATATGTTACCCTTTGAACAGCAAGAAGTTCTAAAACATTGTGTAGGGAAGCCTAGTTGTCCACCCACAGGCTCTGGAATTCCTGACTGTTGAGATATGCAACCCATCGCTGAAGCGAGGTATCCACGAAGAGATGGATCTTTGGACAAGTTGGCAGCAGAGGAACACCTATCGTAGTATTGGTTTGATCTAACCACTACTCAAGATCAATGATGTTGATCCTGAATAAGGAGACCAGAGAATCCAGTGAATTGCTCTAAATGATCCATTGGGCGCATAGGGAACACTGAAGGGATCTCCGGTACTCTCGTTCCAAAGGAATGAGGGATTGGAGTGATGTCCACATCCCCAAAAGAGAAAGAACCATCCATGCAGTGGGAGAAGGAGAGTTGGACTGCCTGTTCCGTAGCATGGAGCCGGATAGGAATTGGCTGAGAAAGACACCTAGATGGATGATACATCGTGTTGGAGTGAGAATAGATTTCTCAGCTCTGATAATAAAGCCTGCCTTGTTTACTTTTGAATGTAGAATTTGGGTGTTTTGTTCTGCTAACTTACCGGATGGTGTCAGCAGCAACCAGTTGTCTATGTAATGTTGTGTGCACAGGCCTAGAGAATGGAGGCAATGAGAAAAAGCTTGTATGGTTCAGCAGAACATATATGGTGCTGATGCTAATCTGAGGGGCAGAACCCTGAACTACAGCACCTGACCCTTTTGCACAAAATGTAGACAATGGCGGGACAACTCTGTTATGGGAACATGCAGATAGGCATTGACAACATTAAACTTGGTCATCTACAGTCCTGGTAAAAAATGCTAATGCAGATTGAACCTTGAAGGATCTACGAATTTATTTAAACGAGAAAAGTTGACGACTGGATGCCAATCTCCTGTTCTTTTTAAGCACAACAAACAGACAGGAATAAAACCCTGGAAGAATTGGAACAACTCTCTCCACTGCCCCTTTGACCAACAAATCTCTGATAGCCCTGGAAAGAAGTTCCAAAATCCAAGGATCTGCAGGAGGCAGAAACACCACAAGTTGGGTGGATAATGGTGATGAAGATGTGAACTGAATGACTACTGATTCAAGGACTTGTAGTACTCATGGATTTGTGGTAAAGATTTTTCACATATCCAGAAATTCTCAGAGCCAAGCCAAATCTCGATAAAGTGGTAATATTATGTGAATGAGGTGCTTATATACAGTACCAGGATAGAGGGCACATTGATGTAAGTGTCACAAGACAGATAATTACCAAGAGTAATTAAGTTGGGGAAAAAAAGACTGGAGCAAGTGAGAAAAAATCAGACCAATGCTTAGATTGGCAAAGGAAGTAAACCATAGCAGTTGAGTAAAGCTATAGTGTGATAGGAGATAAGTATATTTTGGAAATTGTTTAGTGTACCATCATAACATAAAAAGTAAGCTTAAGTTTTATTGGTAGACCAAAAGGAAAAAAAAAGAGAGGCTAAACATAACTACTAAATTTCTTTTTTTTATGTAAATCTCTTACTTATTGTTATAAAAGTAATTAACATATAAAAATTACAAACTTCTAATTAATACTTCTAAAACTATAGCTAGGTTCTTATATTTTTTAAATAGACCCTTTTCTGGCACACCCAAAGAAGCAGTTATCAAAGTGTGTAGATTTCTTGACATTTGGCTTCCTTATCACAATTTCCAATGAAAGATATACATAGCATTATAACCAAAAATGCTATTAAAAGCAAAAGCACCCACATAATTACTCAATGCATTCCCAATCATTATAGGATTAACTTTCCGGATTATTGATTTATGTATCTCTTATACGCTTGTTATACAGAATTGCCTTGATAAATTACTGTTTTTAAATATTTTACTGTAATCTATATAGTCAGTTTATTTTTGATCATAAATTTATAACAATACATATTTTGAAATAAGTTTATTTTTGTATTAGTAAAAATTCATGATCTTATCATATTCAACTTACCACCTCAACATCTATATCGTAACAGGATGTTTTCTTTGTGTCTAGTCCTTCCACACTGTAATAAAACAAAAAAACACATAAATAACATATGCAACTACAACAAAACAAAAAAGATGGTGTAAAAACTATATCAGATCTTTATAAACTTCATATTGAATATGATCATCCTCTAAACCTTAAACATGCTACATTTTCAATGCGTAAACAATGAAAAAAATTGATAGTAATGATAAACAGATATTAATATTTACTTCTGCTCAGAGCAAGCTGTGTACACAGAGGAAAACTAAAAATGAACCTGGCAATCAGTATAGCTAATTAAATAAACCCCTAAGTTTCAACTTACAGAATGCATTGTTTCATCAGTTTGGTACCCATGCTGTTAATAATATTTTTGGCTGAAAGCCCGGTAACATCTCACAAGATTTGGCCAGCTTAGGTTGTTTGGGTTAATACTAAATAAATATATTTAGCTAAAAATGCAAAACAATTTTTATAATAAAAGAACAATAATAAAAATTTTTAATAAAGTAATGACATTCAATATATTAAATAGTATAACTAATAATGTTAATAAAAGCAACAATAAATAAATATTATACTTTACTTAGAGAAAACAGAAACACTATCTGTTGGCTTCAACTAATGTCATAGAAGTAAATGTCTTTGAAAAATGTAACCTACTATAACATACCTGAGTCTTCTCCAATTCTCCCTAACACGTCTTTTGACCAATGAAAATTCATTAAGCCACTCCTACTGTCTAACGTTAGAGGAGAGTGACATCTGTGACAAATTTATGACGACACATATTACTGTTTAAACTGTGTCGATTAGTAGCAGTTTTCCTATAGTACAACAAACTAATACTTATGAAGACACAAAATAACAAATGAAATAATACCGGAACCATCCAGGAAACTACAGCAATGTTATATGTAATAAAAAGAAAATAACATTCTAAAATACTATGTGGTTTTGTTTAACACTATCACCCTTACTATAACTAACTTCTGACACTTAAGAAACGCATAGAGCTAGAGCTACAGAAAGCAATAAATAACATTAAATCTTCTGTAAAAGCTGAAAAGGAAACAAGATAAGCCTCTAGAAAGTTAAATGAAAATGATAAGACTTAGTATGGAAAATAACAACATTCACTGATATGACAAAAAGTAATCAACAAAAATTCATTTAATAAACTAACGACATAATGTCATATTACATAAGGAACTATTATATAGTTAAAATTAACAATATATAATAATAGCTTAAACTAATGGATCGGAGGTAAAACCAATTGTGGTCAATATACTAAAGCACTTCACTACAAAATGTAGAAGTGGAAGTTTTTAAAAGGTCTTGATACTCTGAAATACTTCTGTTGAATGAGTTTAGTGTTTAAAACATGCAATGAAACTTCATTTGTAAAAAAAAAAAGAGAGAGAGAGAGAGAGAGAGAAAGAAGGAGAGTTTACATCTTCTATCCACAAAATCTCATGATGATGAACAAATTCTATTGTATCTAATAAGTTCATAATAGTTAAAATTGTAACTTATTTGGAATGTTTGCAGTTGGGAATGGAAGTTTTATAACTTTAAACTTGAAAGTATCCAATTCAATGAATCTTTATATTTGAATGTTCAATTAATGATATTGATATCTAAAGCCAGATATTGTGCTTTGTTTTAAATGACAGATTTTTCCTAGATTGAGCCGTGATGGATAAATTTGTTCAATTGTGTCTAGAAATCCTTGATAGTTTGGTATAAGAATATCATCCACATATCAAAAAGTGAGACTGATGTACAAACCTTTACTGTAGTCTTTCTTATTAAGGTTTGTAACATATGAAAATTCTAGTCTGATAAATATAAATTTGAAACTTGTGGGCTGAAGTTACCTCCCATTGGAATTCCTTGTACCTGTCACAAAAAAATGACATGCAACCACTACACAAATGACTTACTGGTAAAATTAAGAAAATATACTTCTAAACAGTAAAAACATAACTCAAAGTCCTATTACTAGGTAATGAATATCCACAAATTTAAAGATTTTAATGCTGGATGAGCAAAATTACCAATATCAGAAATGTACTGACCTACAGCTTATAGCAAAAGAACTAGTCACTGTGTAAATAATAACAATAATACAACTTTCAAAATAACATTACTCAATGATTGAAGTACATTAATTTCATAATATTCAAGAAAATATTTCACTAAAGAAACTCTCCAAGTTATTCTTCAACTCCTTTTTGCCAAGAAAGTCAAGTAAGAACTACAACAACATTACAGGTATAAGATACAATACTTGTTGCTAAATACTCTGAAAAAAAAAATTAAAGGCTTCAAATATTATAAATAGAAATAAATCAGAGTTGGGGACAGATTCAAAACAACAGAATTTTAAATCTATGTAGATTATAAAGGATGAACGACATACACAAAACTTCTCATAATTGTGATGAATGCATGTGTACTTTCATTTATAGGGCTTGGATGCTAGTGCACCTAACACAAAAAGCTACTACACATCCCTTTCAGGCATGGTTAGTTTCTATCTTAAACTGACAAACATGCAGAGATCTTCAGAAATCCTACATTTACTTCACAATAGAAAGTACATTTCATTTTTTTATATTCATATCTCAAGTTCTACAAATGCTTAAGAAACTATTTTAAACCTTTTTGTATGTCCAAATGTCGTATTTAAATAGCTGTGTTTCCCAAGATACACATAGTTAGAAAGTTCATAAATTAAAGCACAGTTACATTTAAAGTAAACCAACTTGCCTGATAAGATGGTTGATGACAATTGGTTCTGGAGGGTGTAGAAGCCGATGGAGACGTTGAGGAATTTCAGCAAACTTAAGTCTTGGACACTGGAAAATCTATAACAATGTAATGCAAAAACCTGCACTCGTCAAACTTAGAAAGCACTTAACCTTTGTAAAAATAGCCAACATCAAATTTCAGTCTATAGAATCTCACAAAATATAGAAAGTTTAAAACTAAGAAAATACATCAGTTACAGATTCAGATTAGCCAACAGCCTTAGAAAAAGATATTAAGCAAATCAAAGTTTAATAGTGAGTAGCATGGTTTAGTGAGAAAACTGGTAACAACAAATATGTTCAAGGTTTTGGAAGCCAGATGTGTACAACCATATAATTAATAAAAACAGAGCAAAAAATCGAATGATTTTTTAAAACATCTACCCAAAATATAGATCTTTCATACTGACTCCTCTGTTAAAGTATGGAATTCCTATAACAAACTCCATGTCAAATATGACCAGGAAGGCCGTACCTGCCCTAGGTATTTGCCACAATTGATGTACTCCCGTTCATGAATGTCTTGCAGCCTATGACTTTTGATATAATGCCACAGAGCATTGATGATAACTGGCCGTGTCTGAGTGTGAATACCAAGAAGCCTGGCCAGTCTTGGGTCCAACTTAAACTGTAGAGGCTAAAATTTGGGAGGTAAAAATTAATATTTTCGACAAACCTCAAAATAATATTAATGTAATCACTGTGCATATAATAATATACATAAATAAATAACATTTATATATTTAAAAAAGAGCAACAGAATATATTTTTATGAAGCATTAATGGAAGGATGTATTGTTGAATACTTTTTAGTTATTTTAATCTTTTGATAACATCATTATAGATCAATACTGTGTTTTGTATGTTTTTTTTCAATGATTTCATTAACTGAGATGTATAATATGCTTTGTTGTTCCTTTGAAACTGACTGTTGAAAAGAATTTATGACAATATTAATTGAATATATGAGTAAATACATATTAATAAGTGATCTAGCTGCAGTTTTGAATATTTTCATTCTATTACAAATAAAACACTTTTGTTTTTCTTTTGTTTGTTTCAGATGTTTTTTGCAAAGCTACACAAGAGCTATTTGCACTAGCTGTCCACAATTTGGAAATAATAGACTAAAGGGTAAGCAACTAGTTAATAGCACCTATCACCAACTCTAAAAGGGTAGTGGAACTTGACTTTTACTCTTATAATGCACCAACAGCTCCAAAGTGTGGAGCATAATTTTATGGTAATAGGATATGACCCATGGACCTTCAGATTCACATTGCAGCAAGCTAACCACAAGGCTAAGCCTGGTCGTTTCTTTTCATGTACTTCATAAATTACAATGGTGTTTAATGATTACTGGCCTCATATGATACAGATTCGTTACTTATAGCATTTAAAATAATAGGTGGCATATACCAAATTACCAATCAAATCTTGAAAATGAATATGAAATTTTAAGAAGTTCAGTTTCTGATTGGTAAATTTTCATTTTAAAATGTTGATCAAAATACTTTAATGAAATTATGTAACTAAAATATTTGTTAAAAATAACATTCAAATGTAAAAAAAAAAATATATATGGTGTAAGCTATCACAAAATAATACAGTGAGAGTAATAGGCAATATCACATTCATGGAATAGTAAACAAAATTTATCATCATAAAACAGTTTCTTTTCAATCATGTTGAAGTCAGACAAATGAGAGCAAGAAAGCTTCATTGTATAAAAAAAAAAAGTGTGGAAAACAGTAAATGAAATATACATGCTCAGTAAAAATTGTGGAAGCAGTCATAAATGCCATGAAGTATAGAGAAAGTAGTAACGTAGCCCACTTGTAATTTCTATCCTTTCATCATCCAGAACTTCTCTCTTTCTTTGTAAAATTATCAGATAATAATCAGATTAAGTGAAAGCTTAAAATCATCAGTTTATAACATTATCCAAACCTTCCAATCAATGCTAAAATCACACCACATCCATTATCTCTCGTTTCAGTTACAAATGAGGCCACACGCATGCCCGAAGTAAATGTAACAGAGCATTAGTATTCCTATGGTTCTAAATAGTTTGAGTGTTATAAGCAGGAATATGTTATTTCAAAGTCTGACTTTAATATGATTTGTGTAATTGAAATAAACTATTTTAATCTGAATTGTGACTATATACTTTATACTAATGTGTCTAATAAAAGGCTATGTTACAACATCAGAATATATTATTAGTTTATGTTCATGATAAGTTCATTCTGAACATTATACTGAGGTCCATAACCAGAAATTATGAAAGTTTTGCTTAATTCTTAGTAAATGTTACTTGCTTAACTCTGTGCTAAGTTTATACGAAATTCTATATAGATGTTATTTCATTTGTGGCTGATTTGTTTACATTTGCATTAATGGTGAAGCATGTTTTTAAAAATTTGATAAATACTTTTTTCCAGGTAAGCAAAATGTCAGACAATTACAAAAATACTGGGCCAGAAAAAAGCTAAAAACATAACGTCTGTTCATTTTAAAAGGACACATTTTTTATAACAAAACAATTCTCACTTACTTTATAATCTAGTAATAACAAAATAGTACAGCGCACATTTTTATCTCCTGGACGCTTCACCTGGAACCCATCTGTTTCAGTTGTTTTTGGCATACGATGCCACTAATAAAAAAAAAATACCATGATTGGAAGATACTTTGTTAAGTAGTCATTATGTTAAACATCATCATACTGAATATCTAAATTAAAGTATGGATACATTATTAATGGTTAAATGCTTTACCCCCACTCCTCAATAACAAAAAAAAATCATAATACCCACTTCACTTGTCTAACAAACTCAAATTTTTTTTGGATTAGTTTATGAATGTGCAATTAAGCACATTAAAAATTATATTTTACAACATGTTTAAAAACTTTCTGTGGATGGTTTTAATAACTGATACTAGTGATTAACTAGTATAATCTAGAAAATGTGGTTGCTACATTAGTGGAGAATATTTTAAAGATTTAATTAAAAAAACATGATGAGAAGTACTGAGAATGATTTTTGTAAATATTACAAAACATAATACATGGCATTGATATTCAAACTTTGAAATCAATCTACTTTAAGAAGACATAAACAAAAGTCCTAATAACAAAATGATTAATTAGGCTGCAAAAAAGGCTTGAAAGTTATTTAATGTTTCTTTTGTTTGAAGTTAATTTGCCTTATATTTGTTAAGATCTAGTTGTGGTGACACTTAGTGTAAACAATGGTTTTTCTTAAAATAACAGTATAACTAATTTACCTCTACCAGGTGGTTGTCTGGTCCATACAAATCTTTGTCTAACTCAATAACCAAACTCTTGAAAAAAGAAGAAAATTTTCGTTTCACTTGTTTCTGATCAGACTTTGGAGCACTTGGCTATACAAGAGAAAAATAAAATACTGATTCTTTATAAGATAAGAAACTATCAAATTTTTTGTACATAAGTTTATACTGAATTGTTTAATAACATCACAAAGTAATAACAATCATATGTGAAAATGTTTCAGGCATTCAAATTCAGCAAGTGTTAAAAATCTTTAAAAATTATCTTTCACTTTTATCCAATGGTTTATGCTAAAATTGACCAAACGTTATGGTTTTTATTGTTAAGAGCAGAGCTACACAATGGGCTGTTTGTACTCTGTCAGCAATGGGTATCGAAACCACATTTCTGGCATTGTGAGCCTGTAGACTTACCATTGAGCCACTTGAGAGGGGGGGGGGTTGGCACACAAGTCATAATAGACAATTGAGACCATTTTAAGTCATGATTAAAAGATATTATAAGCATCATTTTAATTTGAAAATAAGTTGTATTTTTTGTATAGCAATAGCAGAGTAAGTAATTTATAATAATTTTAATTTTTCAAATGAGCCATAAAGTAATTTAATTTGATCATTAGCTACCTGGTGATGATAAACATCTGAGGTGAGATCTGTATTTTTTAATTTTTAATTACAGCTTCTATTGTTTCAAGGAGAAATGTAATTAAAATCTAAATGTAACATTAACTCTGTAGGCAGATTCTTGCAAGTCTCCAAAATAAGGTAAGCAATAACTTACTGAGAGTGAAAAAACAAAATAAAACAAGTTTAATTAATTACCACAAGTATTAACCTTATGTGTACAGCTGGGTCAAAGTGGGTATTCTATAAGCTTTTGCAGTTACATTCAAAATTTCATTAGACAACTGCAGTTATAATTCAAATATTCGTATTATGCAAGTTTTATTTTTTAATATTAAAAGGAAATGTTTAAAAAATATTCTCAATCTTCATTTTTCTGTCTCACGTGACACGTTTAAGCTCTGAATTCTCCATATCTGAATCGTATAACTTCAAAAATAGGCTCCTGAAGTTTCCAACTGATTAGAAACACAAGCTATACAAATTTACAAGTAAGAATATAAAATCTGAACCCCATACTTTCTCGAGTTGCTGAGATATCAATAAATGTGTCGAACCTACCAGAGAAACCCCTCCTTTCTCTCTGCCTTTCAAGATCTCGTACTAATCTTTTTTACATGGCCAATGGAAATGTTTTTTATAATCAATATAAAGAGATCTTCCCCTACATAAACTTTATTATAGGTATTTCTTTTTCACAAGCATATGTACACAATAATGGTAGATTTTTTTGTCATAAGGACTGTTACCATAATCAGAGCAGCTAACAGAACTTTAATCTACTTAGAAAGTCATATAAATTACACTAGTTTTTTTACATTCTACTCCAGTGATTGATATATTTTTGTGTTCTAAAATGCACATTTGAAAGCTAAATAAATTTTTATCAGGATAATCGAATGAGGCCTAGGTCAGTTAAGTCTGTGAGTGGATAGATCACACAGGTCATGCACTCAGCTTGTGGTATTTACAAGAAATAGCTAATGGGCTTCTGCTGTGATTTATTGCTTTTCATAGAAAGACGGAAACATTTTCCTTAGTACAAAATTCAGCAATAAAACCATAATACTAAAATAAACCAGATGTGAGGAGGTTAACTGTTGAAATTTTAAAGATGAGTAATTTGAAATTCTCAAAACATTTAAGAATTCAAAGAAGAAAAACATTATTATTAATTTTTATTTCATTGAATAAAGTTGTTTGAACATTTGTTTAACATTAAGTAAAAGCTTGGAATGGTCTATTCTTTCATTGGGGTGTGTGTCAGTGAGCCAGATTAGCTTTGGAGAATTCCACTCCTCATCAGTGACCCTGGACACTACCACCAATGAAATTTCAGACCAAACCAACCAGAAAAAACAAAAGAACAAAATACACCATTTCCTACTGACCTATGAAAAACCTGAATCTTTATGCATAAATAGGATCTAAGACCTAAATATTCCCAAGCATAACAAAAATATTAATTTAACATTTTTCCTTTTTCTTTTATGCATAGTTAACATCCAAAGTTTTTCAAATGATCCAAGTTATAGAGTCAATTTGTCTTTTTAAGCAAAGACATACTTACATCCCAAAGGAATGCTTATATAGTCTTGTAAAATTCAATTTAAGCTTCTATGAAAGAATAAAACAAAATAGTTACAACTCTAATAATAATAATAGTTCTTAACTTCTCCAAAGCTAATTTGATAGAGGGGTGGCTGGATGGAGGAAGGCTGGATTGGTGTCATGGATAGTGTGCCTCAGGGCTCAGTCTTAGGTTCTTTGCTCTTTTTGATTTACATCAATGATATGGATGAAGGAATGGTCGATAAATTGTTTAAATTTGCTGATGATGTTAAGCTTTTATGTGTTGCTGGCTATGTGGAGGATGTTGCTACTTTAAAAAGGATTTGGTGAGTTGAGCGAATAAATGGCAATACTGAGTGCAAGTCTGAAGAGGTTATATCATCATTGTATAAATAATTTTTAGGCCAAATTTAGAGTACCCTATTCATTCGTGGATTAATTATCTAAGAAACAACATTGAATTGTTGGAGGGGGTTCATAGGAGGGCTACAGGAATGATATCTGGAATGGAAAGGTTGTCATGCAAGGAGAGGTTGGGATCTCCCAAACTGTTTTCTCTTGAGAAAAGAGGAGTTATAGGGAATCTGATTGAAGTGTTTGGGATTATTAGAGGAATTGATGGTGTTAATGAATCGTCTTTTTTAACACTTAATGAAGAGAATGGGTGGACTTGGGGTCACACATGTATAGATTTTGGCAAGGTAGGAGTCATTTTAAGCTAAGACAGTTTTATTTTTCTAATAGGGTAGTTGTTTTTGGAATTGGTTGTCTTTGGATGTTGTGAAAGCTGTGAATGTAGGTGAGTTTAGGAGAAAGCTTGATAGATATATGAATGATAAGGACTAGCTTTGAGGTGTTTTTTGAATAGTTTTAGTTTAGTTTATTGGATGGGACAACCTAGATGGATTAATAGCTCTCTTGTTGTCCCTAAATATTATATGTTATGTTAAAGTATATTGGTCAAATCGTAACCCAATATGTCCAAGTGGCCACATGAAATGATCTTTAAAGTTTGTTACATTCAGTGCTGGATTAAGGCATAAGCTATCCAAGCTACAGCTTAGGGACTCATAGCTGCCTCTAACAAAAGGAAAAACTGACTCCATTTCAATTTTTAATCGTATGGGGCTTCTTGAACTTTAGATAGCTTATGGCCTCAGAACGTCATAAACCATCACTGGTTATATTTCATTAAAAATTGTATAAAATAGTTCCATATCTGTATATATGGCATAGGCGTTAAGGCTATTCGCCACTGTCTCTACCTTTGAAGTACTGCCTAGAGGAAAGGCAACTAATCAGCACCATACTATCAACCTGTAGAACGAAGTTCATTACAACACTTAATGAGTGATGGTAGAAAATAAGTGTCTGTTTAGTATATGTTTTTCAATTAAAGAACCCTTATCATTGCAGTGTGTAAGTAAATACAAAATGACCATTTCCTAGCAAAAACAGTCTTTCTGAAAAAAACAAAAACAATGGCAAATGAGTAAAAGAGGTTGTTTTTTTTTCTAATGGAAACAATGGCATATGGTGCAGAATGAGAATCATATATACTGCAGTGTTTAAGATGTATAATGTGTTGTCATATAATCAATTTAAAAACAATTCACATTATTATTATTATCTCATGCAACATTAATATAGTGTTCCTCAGATGTATTTGATATTTTATACTTGATTTACACAACTATACATTTAGCTTGGATTAGATCTTTCTAAAGATATGCAATCTTTTATAAAAAACAAAGAATCATGTAAAACAAAAGCATATATGTATACCTGTAAACTTTGTTGCTACATAAGTCTCTCATTTCTGTTGATTAAATCTAATGAAATTACTTACCATTAGAATAATTGAGTAAATATATTTTAAAACAGGATATGATTATTTAAAATTATTAAAATTAAATATGAGTTATACCACAGATGCTTTATATAGCATACGGAAACTTAACATAGGTAAATAGACACCCAAGTTTGACAAAACACTGGCTTAACTTGGAACAATACCTAACACTAGCAAAATATGAGTGGGGTGCTGGGGTTAATACTTTGTGGGGGCAACCCTCTGCATTATGCAATGCAGGAACACACAGATTGTGTGGACAAGACCAGCAATCCTGTCTGTGGAATTGCAGTCCATTCCTAGTAAATAATCTGTTTTAGGGAATCCCAAGAAGTTGCTTTTGCAGGACTTTATCAAGGATAACCTACAAATGCTCAATGGGGTTCATGTTTAGTAATTTGTCAGACCATAGCATAATAGTGATGTCCTGTCTCAGCTTAGTTTCAATTTAATTAGATCACAATGGCAACCAGTGAATTTTTAGCTGTGGCATAGAGGCTCATAGAATGGTTCTAAATGTTTTTTTGTTTTTTTTCAAGTACAAACTTTTAGCTCATAGCTTCGTCATATCTTAACCAATTCGAGATCTAATTACAGTTTTGGACTAAGAAGGTCAAATCCTTTCAATTGATGTACTTGATCACGCCCAAGGTCTCATAGATTAAGTTACTCTAATTCTGCCTAAATGAATTTCAATTTGAGGGTAGGCTGGAAGAGATCCTGATGAGTAATAAAATTGAATTGGGCATAGGTGCATCTCACCCTTGGTATTGCTGGTGCACAAAAATATAGCTAATAAAAAGGAAAAAAGGTCTCATATATTAATTTACTCTAATTCTGCCTAAAAGAATTTCAAGTGCCATGGCTATTGAGGATTCCCTCATTATATTATAATAACAAAAGTTTTTTAATTTTTAACTACTAAGATATTTTCAGCAACTAATTCTCATAATGCTTCCAAAACATCTGAAAGGTCATTCACAGGTATTTCAGGTTAATTATTACACAAGCATAATTTGCATTAAATACATCTGAATCTTCATTATAAACTTGCAATATTTATAACCAATAAATTATTTCAGAAAACAACCTAAGTAATTAATCCCATATCATCAGCAACTGGCCTTCATGTCTGAGCATCAGCAAATAATGTCTTTCAACTTGTAAAACAGGATATCACAACTATTTTGAAGTCAAGTACCAAAACATACACTAAGGATTTTTAATTACTATTTTATGAATACTTCTGCATTGCATATTACTGCAAAGAAAAAAAGCTTTTAAGTTATGGATAAAATGAATGTATCAATTAATACTTTTCTATAATAAAACTAATAACAGCAGCAATAAAACATTTAACAGAGTCACAAAAAATATGTTCCTCTGTATCACATCCAACAACTAACTCAATGGGGCATAATATAAGAATAACGATATTTTTGTTTTTACAAAACTTCAGGAAGGTTCGAAGGAATGATTTCACTGCTGTCTAAGATTTCCAGAGTATATACACGTTTAAGTACTTACATCATCAAGAAGCCGACCTTCCACCCGAAGCTCCCAAGATGGGACAGTAGGTTCTTCCCCACATTCTCCCTCAGGTTTCCCACGGTAGAATGTGTTGGAGATGAATATCCGTAGTTTATGTTTTTGCTATCACAAATGGAAAAACTTATAAATTAAAGGGTAAAAATGCATTCACATTCTTCATATTAATTAAACATAGAATTAAATATAAAGGATACATTTTGATCATAACATAAGAACATACTGATGAACAATATCACTAATACTAACTCATGATGGTATACTTGTATACTTTTCTGCCAATCCTGAAACTGGCATTAATTGCCAAATAAACACTTAGTTTGATTCAGTTGAATTTAATAAAAAATTCTGTAGTTTAATAAGAAGGCTCAATCAATTTCAAAACAATAGCCCTTAATCAGACTCTGATCTCTACCCGACGAATACTTGCACTGTATCTTTATACTTATTTCCAAGAACTTATGAGTGAAAACAAAGAAAATTATGCGATAATATGTCAACTACATTATATCTATAAACATATTCTAAAGTGCCTGAAGATTGTAACAAAATGAATATGACTACCACTGAATCGGTAAGTAAATGGTAAAAAAAAAGAAACAACTGCCATTCCAATGTGTTAATTAAAATTTAACATAAATGGAGCTGCATTTTATGCTATATATTATCATCGTTTGATACTATTTCAGTGGTCTTTAAACAACTAAAATGACTATGGCTATAACTAAAAATCTGCTACAGGAATATTAAGGCTTAGCAATACAAGAGTCAGTTTATTCAAGCTCAAAATGATATTGCCATCAGGCCTGTATACAGAATGTTTGAAATGGGGGGTGGTTGGGTGGTTCTAATTTGCGAGATCAAATGCCAACATATATTGTGAGATGTATGCTAACTCTACAGTGGTCTTGGAGCATGCCTCCCAGAAAAACATAGGTGGTATGAGATTAAATCTAGAAGCAATTTTGCATGAAATATAGTTCAAACAATTGCATGGCTGTTCACATAAAATCCACAAACATCCAATGAAAAGCCAACATATCATCATTCTGTTGTAAAACTGTATGGAAAACTAGACATAAATTAGCATAAAAATGTATGTTTTATTAGAGTAATGCAGAGTAGTTATTAATTGTTAAGTTATATTACTAACTTAAACAACTCTACAACAAAAGTATATTAGCTATTTCAACCACTGGCTTTCATATACCTACATGCTTGTACCACTGAAATAACATGTTATTACACACCATTTTTTCATTGTTTTGGTTGATTATTATTGCACCAGAATAACTGGTTTTGCATGGAATGTTCTAAACTTCTTTTGGGGTATAACTACGCATTGAAAGATTATTATTTCGGTCTAGACTGCATGATTGTGAGTTTAGTGATAAAGAAGGTAAGGTGTCAATTTTTAAAGTGAAATTATCACAGACTGTATTGTAATAATTTGTCTTGTCAGTTGTGTTTTAAAAAAATTGAACTAGTCTGTGTGGACTTTGATAAAAAAACAACAAAAGAGAATTATTTAAAGCTCTGGATACAACTGTGATAATCAACAGTGTAATAAACATCTGTATATACATTTGACTTGTTTTAATATATTATTTTAAAACAAGTGGATTGTATTGTATTGCTATTTGTTTATTGTTGAAATTTATCGCCAACAAGTCACATACACCTCCTGTAAAGAATCTGGTTTTGGGCTTCCAATTACAAACTGTGAACAGAAGCCAAAACATGTGAATATTTCAAGCCTAAAAATGCTAGTGCTTCATCAGAAGAATGTGTAATGTGTAGGAAATGTTAAATATCATAAGCAGCTGTGCTATAACTATATAAGCATAATTGTTTTACATCACAAAAATAGGGGGTTCAGCTGACTGATCATTACTGTGAATGTATTGTAGGGTAGGATAGTAAAATAATCTTATGACCAAGCACACAAAGTTCCCAAAAATTGAAAAAGTTTTGCTTGATTATATTTTGACTAATCATTATTAGCGAGTACCAGAATATAAACTGTGCAGTTGTTATGGTGACAAAATGAACCTGTTATACATGTATGACTTGAAGCCTAAAAGATAAATGTCAGGATTTCAGACTTTTGTTTATTCCTCTATGTTGTGGTTCTTTTTTTTTACTTCCAGTGATCCAACAATGATTACCTCAGAATATATTTGCACTTCATATTTGATCACAAAAAATTCTATAAAAAAGTGTGCATTATATGTGGGTATGTATGGTATTTGGATATTTTCCATTATGAATTACAAATAGAAAAATCTTAAGGATAAAACCAAAAATGTTTCTAAGGTTCTTTATGGAACACATACAACGTAAAGTGTCTGATGATGACTTAAACAACTTCAATTGAAAAGTTACCCACTTTCATGGGCCGTTTGAAGGCTTCTTGAATATCTAACTGCTTCCTCATAATAGTGAAGTCAAGCTTTCTTTCAAAAGCCAGGAGATCCATGTAAGCCTGAGATTCTGGAACAAGATCCTGAACTTTCTGTGAAAGGATCTTGTCTGCTAGCTTCTTCTTCTTTTTACTGCTGCCACTGGAACTTCCACCTGCAGCAACTGAAGTACTTCTAGTCACTGATGGAACTGTTGTGATTGATCCACTAAAATAATTATGTCCAACTTAAAATGATCAAGTTTCATAAGGTTTCTAAATACTAATGTTAGTAAGCAAAAAGGACCAGATACAGGACTTCAAATCTATGTTAATAAATCATCAAAACTATTGCTCACAGCAAAAGTAATATTAGTTATGAGTTTTGAAATGAAGTTTGATTGTTTAAACACGAGTGCCATAAGCATGTTCCAATAAATAACTGTTATGTAATAAATTCAAGTAAAAACCAATTTATTCTATATTAAAATACAGAACATAAAACTTCTATTTAAAGAGAGTGAACAATTTGTGGGTCTAATAGATTTAGACTAACTAAATGGCCTTTATACTCATTAATTTTATCATACCGAGTCCTGTTGAACCTGTTAATTTCACCAACTGTAACTTGCTGTAATGGTTAAAACACATACTAGTAGCTTTTACCATAATGTTCTTAACTTACTGGAGTCACAAAGTGAAACTTTATACAGTGCTATCCAAATTTTCATTCTGTGACCATTTACATTACTGTGTCTGTGTCATGTTATCTACAAAGCTTTTCCCTTCCATTAATTATGCTTTTGAATATTTTTTTTTTACTGTTTATTGAAAGGCAAATGTGAAATTTTAAGACGTTGCCACAAATGTGTATCATAAAAATTGTTTTCAATAACTAAAAGGAAAATTAATTATCCCAATGGACAAATAAAGGACAATAAATCTGGCTATAAACGAAAATGGTCCTTGATCAATGTTGGATAGTAAAGATTATTCAAATACGGGGGAACTGTTCAATATTTATAAACGTTAAATTTATCTTTGCAGCTCATCTCATCTGAATATCAATAATACCCCTATATCCACAGTTATGAGATTCATGCACTACAATATTTATAACATTTACTCAAGCCTTACAATAAAAAGTTACTATATAAAGAGCCAACATAATAGTAAGATATAAAATGGAATTAGAATAAAATTTTATTTAATCAGAAGTGAGAACAAATGCAGTACCATCTACACTCATTTAAAAATTTCCAAGTTAGGCCATAGCTAATCTCTATAATATTTTCTGTATTACTGTAACAGAACATTCTTTTAAAAAAGAATGTAATTTAAAAATTACATGCTAGACAAACAGTTCAGGTTTAATCTTAAAAGAAAATGTATATGATTTTATATAAATAAACAAGCTAACATGTTTCAATACAATTTTTGTATTATGTTTAATACTAACCTACATTATCTATTTAAGTTTAGTATATGTAAGAATGTTTAAAACCTGTTAGAATTTTAAGCCATGATCTTCATGGTCTATAAGTAGCACAGCAATAATAGCCTAGGTTTATATCTATCAATTTACATGTGTTTTTAGCTTAGAGCCTCATCTTCATGAAAGACACTACATTTAAAAGGTCAAATCATCAGAGTTTAGGAATTTTGCTGATGAATCACTGGAGACAGAGCCAGCTTTAGAGATTGCAGGGCTCAAAGCAGAAATAGTCTGCAGGCATTTGTATCCAGGCCATTAGAGGCAAGGTGTCAGGGACTACCAGAGGCCCCTGGAAGCCCTAGTCTTAGATGCCCCGAGGTGCATTCCGAGCTATTTAAGACACCTTTTTTTTAAAAACATAAATCAGAATTCTGATTTGTGTACCATTTTAATTCAATAATTACACATGTGCTTCTTAAGTCATATTTTCAACTGTACAGAGCAGTATGATTTGTTTTGGTAAAACACAATGTGTGTTAGTGCACATGATTATCTACACACCTGCTTTATTACAGTCACTATAATAATAACTCATCAACAGTTACTGAGTCAAAAGATTATAATTAAAAACTGGAGGACTGATACTGATTTTCAACAACATATGAAGACATCCATCATGTAATAATATTAATTTGCAAATCTATGATGGTTTTGAGATATGTAAGAGCATATTATTTAGAAGAATAATCATAATGAGAATAAGACTAAACAACTAGCTACAGGGACCAAACTGTTAAAGATAAAATGCATGCTCATCATCAACCCTTCTTAAAGGCAAACTTTCTGAGCTTTTATGGAACTGAAATCTTGGAGGAAGTCACCAAAATGTCAATGCTGTTTCCAATAGACAATATAGCCAAGTTACTTAGCTACTCTTGCAACATCACTATTCTTAGGTAGGTCTTTATAAGTTTTAGTTTGGAAAAGCATCTTTCACTTGAAGCAACAATCACCGGGATGGTTAAAGAATCAGAAGAGTAATCCAAAAATTGGGAAAGTCTGTTGACAGTGTCTTGATGGAAAAAAAATGCAACATTTTAAGAGGGTCTCTGTTGAGTGAATGAGGAGGGATAGGATTCAAAGCTTTCATTTATTCATCAAACATGTTGCCATCAATGTCACAATTTTTGCCATCTGTGAGCACTTTCTCTAGTTCAATGGAACATTTTTTTTCACTCCTGACTTCAGTAATTGCAGAAATTCATACATAAAGCCAAATATTTTATGGTGTGTTTTCAGTTTTTTAAATCTGCCATTTAAAGATGAAATAGCTATGTCCAATGCCTTATTAAAGCATTTTACATGGAAAGCCTCCAGTGCATCTGTAACAGGTTCATTATCAGCTTTGTAGCCAAACACCTTCTTCCTTCTTTATATTTTAGTGTCTTTGAAAACAGGATTTGTTTGCAGGTCACTTGCAATTTTTCTTGCGTCAGTCAGTACACTTTTGAAGCCACTTTCCTGGTATTCTTTTAGCCACTTGCATCTGCTCTCTAAACTTTGGACTTGCTAAGTCTACAGAATCACTTAGTAGTTCTTTGCTGAAATGGAACAAAATGTTCTACAAAAAATGATGACAAAAACTTGAAATTATTCAGTTCTTTGTACAAAGATTCTGCTTCACTGCAAGCTTGGGGATCCTTTGTCATCTCTGCAGCCTGGTATGTGATAGCTTTAATGCTCTCAACATAGCATTCCTTTCACGTTTCACTCAGAGGTTTTGTAGACAGAAGCTTCACAAACTCACAAAAGACAACTCATCTTTGTGTTGAGTAATAAAACAAGACATACAAATGTTGAACTATGCCAAACAATGTCACTGCTTCTGGACAAGTTTTTTGCCAAGTCACCAAGCAGCATATTGTAACTGTGACAGGTGCATGGAGTGAAAAATGCTCTTTATTTCTAGAAGATGTGCTTGTACACCTAATTTATACCCTTTCATATTAGCACCACTGTCATTAGCTGTTTTGATAGTTTGTTTCTTGCTGCCACCCTTTATATCTTCAACCAATGTCTCTTTGGGCATTTTTTCTACAACATAATAACTAATATATATTTTTAATGTTCAACATACTTCAGGTATACCGAGCTGCACAAAACAAGTGTGAATGCCTCATTTTCTTACTTATACGCGAATTCTTGAATAACAATGATGTATGCACGTTGTTTAGCATCAATAAGGAATTATCTCTTGGTTCGACCCACCTCAACTCAAGGCCTGAACCAATATAATCCTGTATTTTGAAAACTGAGTATACATCATCTTGGTTAAAACATGCTTATAATTTAAAGATAATTTAATAAATCCCCCAAAACACATTTCCCAAGTTATTGTGACATAAAATATTTCTGCACAACTAACTTGTAAGATGACTGCTATGTTTCAATTTCAAGGTATTTTATCATGAATTACTGGCTTTTAAACTTCAAGCATGGAGCCCTCCAAAGCAACTGCTTTGCCTAAAGCTGGCACTGACCAGAATTGCTAATTTGTTTAAAGGTCCAAACATCAGAATAAAGGAACTCTGCTAATGAATCATTGTAGTTGTTACTTTAACTCTTTCATGCCCGGAAGAATGAAGTCTGTCTATAGGGCAAAATTGAAATAATTAAACAAAACAAAAACTTGTAGTCATTTTTTCACACAGTAGACAAAAGAATGCAAAATTTTATTTTGGATTGATTTCGGCATGGTCCCAATGAAACCATTAATATTTGTGAAGTTCCCAATTTGTCTGGGCATTACATAGTGCTTGTAGAAGAGCAATAATAATTTTTAACAAAATAGCACTACTTTATACCTGTAAGTTGAATAGGTCTAGTTTTATTGATTTTTTAGCTAATCACTGTTTCTCCAAGTCAGTTGTCATGGTATGATGTAATTGCTTATATCTCAGCTTCAATAAGTCAAAATATACTGATCTAAATACATAATGTAAGCATTGTTTCCACTCTTTTTAACTTTAAAAGCTGAAAAGGCTGCTTTCAGTTAAGCAGGAATTTGTGATAAAAGCTTAGCTTGCTGATATGTTGCTAGAAGGTTTTGTGAACAACTTTTTTCTACAATTACATTACTGAATTTTTTAAAGTTTGTGAAAAGAATGACTTATCATTTTGTATTTCATATGAGTTATGATGTTGAAATATGATAGAAAAATAAAATGTTTTTTTGTGTAACAAGATGAGGAAGGCTTAGTTAAATCACTTTGCACTTGCCTGTATCAAGTTTCATTTAGCTGACATGGCCACTGTGATAGGACTTGTTTGCATTAAGCCATATAGGCCTATGTAACTTCTTGAATGGGCAGAGAAAATCAACAAAAAAAACATTAAAAAAATATATATAATGGATATCAATACTCTTTTAAGTATCAATCAAGAAGTTAAAAGAAAAACCATACTATTTTCCAATCTGTTTCCCACCTCTCACTAAATATATGTACACATATAAACAAATACATATACAGCTAGACATACACAAATACAGAAGGAATTGACTGCCTAACCCTTCAGAAATTGGAAGACCTTGACTTTTACTCTCTGAAGCTCTATCTCCAGCAGAGTGCTTATGAGATGAGTCTATTCCCATCGATCCCTGGTGTGGTATTCGTCCAGGATTATGAGGACGTTGCAGTCCTTGGTTTATGTGTGATGACATTGATTGTGGAGGGCGAGGGAGTGGTGAAGGACCATCTTGCATTCCCATTTCTGAACCAGGTGGATACCCAAGACACTGAGGACCATACCAGAAAATAAGTAATAAGTTTGGTCGACAAAAACCTAAATTACTTAAAAAGACCCTCATTAACTCTTTCAGCATGGGCTCGGTCCCTGGGACCAACCTCATAACCATTTTGTGCTTGTTATAGTTATCATGCTACAACTTTTAAGTTAGTAAGCAAATGTTAAAAAAATTTGGCAGATTATCAGTAAACATTACAATGCTTTCATAAGCAAAATGTCAACATTTTTTGTATTAAGCCTTAATCAAGGTTTATAAAGCAATGTTTTTTTCATGTTTATTTTTTCTTTTTGCATGTTGCTTATCTATCAT